GTCGTGCGCGCACGGTATTTTGAGCCGACTGAACCAGTCTCCGGTTCATATACCAGTCTACCTAGTAGCACCATCCATCAGTGTAGAAGCTGCGCCGATCGCACGTACTCACATTTCGCAACATCCATTGTTAGGCAAGTACTTGAGATTGAAACTCCCTAATCCCCTGAGAAAAAGAGAACATTCACTGCGAACTACTCAAGAGCGTCCGCTAGCGAAAATCCCACCTTATACACGTCGAAAAGAAACAGAAGAATCTACCTGGTGACTTGGCATTAAAGATTGAGGACTCCCATTCAGCATGCAATACAAATCTTGAATGCATATTCTTACCTGCCCGCTTTTATGAGTCCCACTGAGGTCTTCAAAAAATACGACTTTGTTCAGAAGCTTCTTCTGCGGCCGAATGGGGTTGGAGAAGAGATCAATTGCCGAGCTGCACTGATCCTCACCTCACCGGGAATTGAACCCGAGACCATAGACTAATCCCTCACCTTCCCATCAGCTGCTACCCCTCTGAACTGCTCACTGAATTTGAAGTGCTCAGCATCGGTATGGAGATCGACGAGGTCTTCGACTGTGTAGAGAGCTCTCCCTCAGTCCCGCTGGCAACAGCCTACTGCAATAGCTCAATACGCCAATGTAACTTTCGTGGCTTGCTTTTGACCAACCTGCTAAAGCCGATTGTTCGATCTGCTCTCTAATGCACTCGCGTCTACCGATGCGGTAGTGCCGTGGTATTGTCTCCCAGTAATGCCGGAAGACGAGCCCCTCTCCACTGCCGGCTCGAGTCACCCATGGGCCTCAAAAGCTCCTCTTCCCCCCTCAAGGAGAATACGGCAGATCGTCTGCTTTCAATTCGATTCATGCAACCCAAATCCTCGACATATCGAGAAACACTGAATCGCTGATGCCGCGATCTGGGTGAAGTGCCGAAGGATAGAAAGGAAGCCACTTAGTGCTACTGTACAAGAGGACAAAGAGTTTGCACGCATGCGCAACAGTATCATTGCTTGGCGGCTATTATTCGACTAATCAAGTCAGCCACGCCCGGGAGAGCTGCGTGATCGTTGGCGTTCACTTTCAGTCTACCTAGAGTCTGAGGGCGAGAAAAGTGAGATCCAAGTTCGTGGCGCGCGGGAACTCACCTTAATTTCATTCATCGCGTTCCCCATAACAACAGGTACGTCAGCATTCTGTAACATCTCCTTGTCGTTCATTGCATCGCCAATGCAAGCAATAGAATTATCTACGACGGATCGTTTTAACACGAGCTAAAACGTCAACAGCGACTCACATCCAAGGCGCTCCTTCAAAACACGAATGCCGTATCCTTTATTTGCTGCTGCCGGTATAATATCGCAGAGGAATGACAAAGACTGAGCTGCGGCGCATCCATGGGACCTGAAAGTAAAACTCGCTTGGGATCGAACTCGCATCCTTCACGGATAATCATCATCGCAAGCAGTATCCAGCAGAGCTGAATCGGCGAAACCCATAAGGATGTATTATGGAGAGCTAACCTCACTGACAGCCAAGATAACGTCATCATCCGCAGAACGCACATAGAATGAGCAAGTAGACATAGAACGCTTACGCGGCGAATCCCTTCAATCGTCCGACAACTTCCGACTTCAGGTACTCAGGATCGGGAGTAATAACATGGATCTACAAAAGATGGCTAGTTTGAATGCATGGCGACGCGTAGTGTATTCAGAGGGCGACTAATTTGGTCGGACTAACGTAATGGAGTCCTCGAAACAGTGACAGAGTGATTGATAGTTCGATCCCTGGCGGAGGCATTATTATCTCGAGGAGTTTCCTTACCATGTGAACCGGAATAGAATCCTCACGAACCTTCCTGAGGAGACCGTCGTAGCCACCACAGTCTTCAGGGGTAGGATCATCGAACCTGTGAAGAGTATATCCCTCATTGGATATCTGTTTCCGTAATTCAGCTCACACTACACAGGCAGTTGCTCACAAGACCTCTAACAGAGCGGGCTTTTTTATATTGGAGAGTTGCCAGTAACGGCCACAGAAAGAATATGACATTAACCCCGAGCTGTATGTGAGAGGTATAACTATCCCGTATACGACCCACCAGTGTATACACAGCGAGTGCGATCGTTTCAATGTTGTCGAACACCGATAAGATTTCAGATTGGATAATTTCTCCATAGGTTCATCACCCAAATACTCACATCCGTTCCATGCACTTGACGAAATCGTTAGTGAAAGGCGCCAGGACTCGATCGCCACTGCAGATGAGAGGTATCACCTCTCTTTGGTGACGCAGCCCATTCACCAGATCACATACCTGAAGGATATCACAGGATAGCTCTATTTTCCACATGCAATCAATCGTCTCCAGGATTTCAATTTCCCCGACTGTCAGGTAATCACTTGAGTGAATGCAGGTTCTCAAAAATGAACTCGTGAGAACTCTAGAGCTGAGAGGAAATAACTTTCGAAGGTACGCCGTCCACCACGATGTCTTGACCAGTAAGGTCAAGATCTCATACAACCTTGTTAAGGGTGTGATATCAATGGTATCGGTCGCCAATACTGGGTGATGTTAAGGCCCATAGTCTGGGCACAGCGAAACTAATGCTGTGTGAGTAATGTCACACTAACAGCTCTGGATAATCGTGGAGAGCTTGTTGCAAATTTCCAATATGCTAACGAATCCCATCAGAATCTCAACTCGTCGTCCGATCAAGCATCTCCGATTCATGCCCCTGCACCGAGTTCGGTCCTCTGTCGGAAATCTTCGGTCGTCTGATACTCTACAGACTGTGACAATGACACGCATCATGCGTTCCAGTACTCGTTTCACAGCTTAGACTCCGGAGAGCCAGCTAGTGAAGGCGACTTCAAGCAACTTCCTGATACGGTCGCTCCGGCCGCAAGTTTTTGTGCGAGCCTAAATATCTAATAAAGCTGACTCAGCTCCTTCTATGTCTGGGTAATATAACGATTGGTTACTGAACGCGCACACAATGGTGCGACCTTCTCCTGATTGAAGAGCGCTGAAGCATGGCCTACTCACTGGTGCTGCAGCAGTGCTGCATTCTCGGGCGTGCACCACAAGAGAGCGACCTATCTCATCGGAATCCAAGCTGGCGTGCCACCAGCCTATTCTCGCCCATCCAGCGGGACAGCTTGACGTTCTTTGTGCTCGCCAGCACTTCGCTCATGACTGACTAAGCTCAGCAGTGTCCAATGTATGACCAAAGAATCTGTGACCCAAAGTGAGTATTCCGTGTTTGGAAGGCGAGTACTAAGCAGATTCACCGCAATCCAGACGAGCCAGATTGGGTCAGCACTCCTGGGTCACCATAACAACATAGTGTTCGTATAACACGGATGTATCGTATGAAGTCGGCCGAGACAGCATCTTCTTCTACTGGACTACTAAAGAGCCCATAGTGATCAGCAGCAGATCACGCTTCAAATTAAAATACTGATACAGTCCCTCCCCAAAAGTCTTGGAAGTCGAAATTCGAATCAGTCTCGGTCCAATACTGACTTGAATTCGCAATTGACACACATTTCTCCGTGAACATGGCCTAGGGCCTAGAGTGTAAACCTCACCTTTTCTACTTACTATTTGGTAGTCAAGCACGACGTTCGATGCAACATTGCCCTTATCATCGTAGACGACACAGCCGTTGAGATAGACACCGGGAAGAGAGTATCTACGACCGATTACACATTACCAAGACAACCGCTGACGACCTTGAAGATGATTGCAAATCAACTAAGTAATCCTTCACAGAGATATCATAGACGGTTTCATTTTTTCAACTCTGCGTTCACACTATTAAAGATCCACGTTCTCACACCAGTGGTCGCATAAACCATCGAAAGTAGTCTCCCTCACGCTGCTCACAGATCGATCCCTCCCTTAGAGAGCATTTCGCCGCCGACATCCTACATCGTCCAGTGGCGGGGATA